TATATAATATTATATTATACTATTATATATATATATATATATATATATAATAATTATACACAATTAGTATTATATTATTTATAAGTGCTCATTGCTCTTATTGCAGCCTTAACGTTTAGCCTAACTAGTTAGCCTAACGTTAGTTCCGTAAGTAGGCTGTAAGTCAGCAGACCTATGCTTCGTTCTCACGCTGCATTATTCCGGTACGTTACTCATCACTGACACATGTACAACATACCCCCCGTGCACGGTCCCGCGCATGCGCACGCTCAACACTCGACCGTCGGGCGGTGACGATGGTGTGTGTGCGGGTGTGTCGAGTATTTTGGCATCTGGATTCGCTCACGAGAGCGCAAAAACCCAAAACAACCGGTAAAACAATCGCCGAAGAAAGTGTAGAGTCCGTATTCCCCGGCGGCTGCGATCACGTGATTTTGTCGGCGATCACGTGACCTCATCTGCGGCGCACGTGCGGTCGTCTGCTTCAGGTTCTCACAGATATCATGAAGATAAGTTGCCTAGACTTGCGCTTACCGCCGCCTTTCGCGTTACGCACCACGCGACCGCGCGGGCGTGGTGAGAGTCTAAGCGCACACTGGGTTGATTATGAGCACCGATTACCGTATCTCGCGCAGCGCCCCCTGCTGCGAACCGGGAAAAATATTCCCCGAAGTCATCAGAAGGGATCATAGATCCGGGTATCATGGTTCCAGCGTCCTCTGCTATGCTATGACTAACAATGATCGACTGCACAGTGATAAAACAATAGCTACTCAGTAGTTATGGAGTATAACTAACTCAGTAGCTATCTATACAGCATCTTCATATCAGCTCCACAGTAGCTATTCAGTAGTTCTACAGCACTGGCTACTCGGTAGCTACCCAATCTCTATACAGAATCGTACAGAATTAATACATCTATATCAGCTTCACAGTATCTATGCAGTAGTTACACACTATCTCTACCGTAGTCACGTGCTGCCGTGTTGTCACAACTATGGAGTGGCTTCTGTAACATCTATACAGATATTATCAGGGGCCATTATTATATGACAAATTTGTAATTATTAACCCCTGATATTATATGTATTTGATGAACCGTGGCTGTGCAGTAACTTGACACTGTGATGGCAACTATGCCTGTAGTAGCTATATACAGTAGCTATATAGAGTAGCTATGTGCAGTAGCTATATATATATACAGTAACACAGCAGTAGTTAGACACTTAGACACTGCGGTCTGTTGCTATCTTTGTGCTGGTGCTTCTTATCGTTTCTAGCGATCGCTTCAACAAAATAAAATACAGAAACCTCGCGCTGCTGTGATTTCATCGAAGTTTTTTTTTCACGCGCGTTCTCTATAAATAGTTGAGTCTGTGTTTGTGTGTAAGACACGCGCGTGGTGTGTGTGTGTGTGTGTGTGTGTGTGTGTGTGTGTGTGTGTGTGTGTGTGTGTGTCTGCGTCTGTGTGTGTGTGACACTG